TTCTAACAGGAAAAGTAACTTTCGTTATCATGGAATTATAACAAAACCTGCCAATTCAATATAAATGGAAAAAAAATATTATATGGAATTGAACGAAAATGAAAATTTGCTTGATAATTCAACTACGCTTGTTGGAGAACAATAAAAACACTACACTCAACAAGCCACCAATAAAACTCAACTGCCTAATCTATAACCAAAGTCTCCTTTTACTTTGTTTTTTAAAAAAAGCGCTTGACAAACTTGCCCCGTATGCCGAAGTTGCCCCGGTCTCCCCTATATATACATACATAAACTTGTGAATGCAAATAATAAGTAAAATTTTCATTAACTCCGACCCCTCTCGAAATACAGTATGACACAGACCCCTTCTATCTCGACCTCTACCACTAAAATTTAATGGCATCAATTCCCCTAATACACAAACTTTCCGCCAAAATTTCAGAAATGTTCGACAAAAGGCACAGAAGTTATTAAGATTTAAATTGGGTAAACAAAAGCGTGCTCCCAAATAGAAACATCAATACATCCAGAAAAAAACCCAAAATTTTTTGGTCCTTATTTTTTTTGGTCCTTCTGTTATATAGCCTATATCAATAACAGCCAGAAGCGAAATATGCTGTCAAACATTTTTCAAAAATTAGTTGGTAAATTAGTGGTATAATTTATCTTAAAAAATTAATAATTACTTAAAATTTGAATAAATGTTTTAATTAGCTTGTCCCCTTGAAATGAAGTTTATGTAACCCGTTTCAAAAGACCTTGAAACAAGACGTAAATAATATTTAAAGTTTCAAACAAAAATATTTATGACAATTCTGCAGATGTTTATTGTGATTATTAGTGTGACAGACAGAAAACAAAAGATAATTTATTATTAAAATCTCTATCAATTTACATAATAGCATAATAATTAGCATAATCTATTTTTAATGTATATAAATATTTTTAAAAATTCGAATTGAGTTTACAGTGACTTATAAAGAAATTTTATATAAATAAATCATCAGTCTGTATAATTGTACCGTAAAATACAGAAATTGTTCATTTGTAAAGTTAATTCTTCAGTGTTACCTTTAGGGAGTGTCCATTAATTACCGTTCCTCTCCCTGTGTATACAGTAATGTACTTCTGGAAAACTGACTCCACTTTAATAACGTGTATAATAGTTCAAAGACCCCCTGACGTTCAAAAATTACCTAAAGAAGTTTTGTAAATAGTTTAACAACGTGACTAGTAAAAAGAATTTAAAAATATGCCACTAAACATACATCACTAAAAACAAGCTAATGGCAATCCCTCCATCGCGCACAATAATATATTTTGCGTGATTTTATTCCCCTTACATTTGTACACGTAATTTATGGACGTCCCCTGAAAACGATTACAGTATATTTTAAGTGGTTATGCTGCAACATTAAATAAACGATAATACTCTTTTCATGTTAGCAATTTCATTTATGTGTAGCAAACACGACAGGATCTTCGCATAATTTGATGATAAATATATAGTTATACAGTCCAGCTACTTTTCAAATTCCATTTTTACTTAATGTATATAGTGACAAGTTAATAATCAACTTTGCAGAAGACGGAAATACGTCAATAGATGACATTTGGCATCAGTTTTCTTTTATAACCTTGACTGCTTCACCTGAGGCAATACTGCACAAGTGCAAGGTTATATTGTCATTAAGCTAAATATTCTCCAAACAACTACTTTTATTTTTCGTGTTGAAAATGATATTTATAAATATTTGAATTTATTAAAATTTATAATAATCCTATTCCAAAACCGCACCATTTAATACGTAAAG